GAGATACTTAGACATATGCAAAAGAGACATGAAGTCGGCCAACATCGACATCTCAAACTGGGAGGAGCTGGCAGAGGATCGATCCTCATGGCGGGGCATCGTGAAGGCAGGATCACTACATGCCGAGGAGCAAAACAGGGCGGAAACAGCTGCAAAAAGAGCGAGGAGGAAGGGCGGTAAATACTGCTTCACCGCATTCGTGTGTGGGAAATGCAACAGAGACTGCCATTCAAGGATTGGTCTCACCAGCCACACCAAGAGCTGCAAGCAATAAAGATAATCTATTGTCTCCCGCAGACGGAAAGATGCCATATTCTATTATAACCACAGCTGAGACACGCAGGCTTGTCCGAAAGAGCAACATTAGGTCACCGTCTGAAGCAACTATTCATCCATGCCCACGGTGTCATAGATTATTCCGAGCAAGAATCGGTCTAGCAAGCCACCTACGAGCTCACCGTAATCCCAACCTCCCCCTAACCGAGTGACTCGATGGTCCTAGTCGACTTCGACGGACGAACAACAACAAATTTTGACATAAATTATTTATACCTTATTTAAAGTTCACCACACAATAATACAAATGTAAAGACGAATAACATTAGATTATATTAAATTAGCGCACACAATAATGGAAGTGAAAAACAATTTAAAGAAGGACACTATGACATTATTAATTATATTTGTGCAATGCCTTTTTTCTCAAAAGTGTAATAATTTCTTTATAAAAGTATATCAATTAATGAAAATAAAAATTCCATTAAAAATGTAATTATCACAGGTTCTGCTTTTAATTATGTTATTAACAAGTTTTGATATATATTTTAATTAACAAAAGTTCAAAAATACAATTTTTAATTAGGGAAAACTAATTATTGGGTGGGATATTAATTTTTCAATTTTAAAAAAAAACGATAAAAAAATTCAGTGATTTCAAAACTTAAATTAAAGGATGCATTCGTTTAATTTAAGTTTTGAAAGCACTGAATTTTTTTATTTATAATTGTACAAATTAAAGGAGATATAATTTCAATGCAAATTAATTCTTAATCAAATTTAATTTCAAATACATTCAGCCAAATATTAGAGATAATGTTTAGCATCTTACAAAGTTAAAGTTTATAGGCACTAAAAAAGTAACTAATTATAAACATATAACAACAAATATATTATTTTATTTTATAAAACTACTTATTTTGGCTTTAATTGATCTCCACAAAATTGAGTTTTAAAAACAACAGATTAAACAAGTAACTCATGAATATTCAATGATCTATTATTATCCTATCTCATGAATAGTCAATGATCTATTAGTAGCCTATCTCAAAGACCATGTTTAGCAGTATAAACACAGTTTTTAAATGCAACTTTTTCCCTGGGGACGTTCCTGATTTTACTGACGAGAATGACGAGAATGACGTGTCTTCTGAAGAAGAATCACCTCATGTTATAGATTTTTAATTAAAAATATATATTTTTTTTTTTAGAATTTAAACAATAGAATTAATGTAGTAACATTCAGTCTCATCAAAACATCACTATCCAAACAATAATGAGGACTACACAACTCATACTTTTCTCACCAAACATTAGAAGTTGTAAAAACAAAGAAAAGAAAATAATTAACAAGAGAGCACACAGAAAAACAACTACTTTACAACACACTAGTACAAACACTTAGATACTCACACAAAGAAGAAAGGTCATTTTAGGAGGGGATTTCTATTATATAACAAGCAGTTTAGAGACAACAAACCCAAAAAGAAAAGATACAATTTTAGAAGAAACAATACGAACAGAAATAATACAATACATCACAGAGACATATAACATTTTCCACGCATACAGATGGAGGGAAAGAAACAACATTTACAAGCACCACTTTAAACGCCAAGGCAAGAAATTATAGATTATACATACCAAAAATAGATAGAATAGATGAAGCAAAACACATTCCAGAAACATTAGACTTTACAGATCACAAAGGAGTGAACATTACAATAAATACAAGATCAAACAACATTAAAAAATCCCCACATTGGAAATTTAACAATACACTTTAAGAAAATGATCACTGTACAGATTTCATTAATAACGTTATACAACGATGTAGCACACTACCAACAAAAAACATAGAATTAGAAGAAGAACTAGAAAAAATAAAACAACATAAATACAATGGAGCACATGTTAGAAGTAGAATTTTTTTACTAACAACCAAGAGGCGCCTACAAAGATCTTTTTAACAATAGAACAAAATATACAAAATGTAGACATGTATGACAAATCATATTATCATAGACAAAGGGGAAACACACACTGACACTCCAAAGATAGTAAACACATTTGAAAAATACTACACAAAACTTTTTGGAACAGAGAAAAAAGAGAGTCCGATACACAAGATAAGTACAGAAAATTTACACAAAAACTAAGCAAAAATCAAACACAAGAAATGGACAAAGCCATTACATTAGCAGACATCAAAATATGTCCAGCATGAACAAAAACAAAACACCTTGATCAGATGGCCTAAGAACCAAATTCTACATTTTATTTTTCACAACACTAGGAACAATTTTACATGCCACACTAGAAGAAGCTTACAACAAAAAGGAGTTACCACACTCGATGAGTACTTCATACATTACACTTTTACCCCCAAAAAAAGATACAGACAGAACACAACTTAAAAATCATAGACCCATATCTTTACTTAACACAACTATAAAATCTGATAGCAAATAAATTAAAACTACATTTAAATACCCTAATATTTACAAACTAACAATGCAGCATCAAAGGCAGGGACATATCTAACCACAATCATTTCATTAAAGACCTCATTCAATATTCAAACGACAAAAACATCCAAACTTGCATATTATCACTAAATCAAGAAAAAGCCTTTGATAGAGTAGACCATACATTCCTACATAAAATATTCAAACACAACAAACTAGAGGAGTATTTTTGTAATTGGGTTAAAATTTTATACAAGTCCCCCATTAGTAATCTTATAATAAACAACACACTTTCTAAAGACATTAAAATTGATCAGTTAGACAGTGGTGTCATTTACCCCCTTACGTTTATATCCTATCATTTGAACCCCTGCTATAGAGAGTTAGAAGGGAGGAGAGTATTAAAGGAGTAGGGATCCCTGGGGGTTAAGGAGAGAAAAGTCATTGCTTATGCGTATGTCAGTATTTTTTTTCCTATTGATGGTAAGTCAATTTAAAAAATAATATCAATATTTCTAGGTTTTGGGAGAGGTAGTGGGTCTAAAATAATCATAACTAAATCTGAAATTATGGGGATTGGTAGGTGGAAAGATAGATTAGAATTCCCTTTAGGAATAGTAAAGAAAGATAAGCTTAGGATTTATGGGATTTATTTTTCAAACAAACAGACTCAAACAAAAACAGAAACATGGCAAAATATTGAACAATCTTTAAAAAACATAATTGACACAAATACACAGCACACACAATTTTTGACAGGGGCACAATCATAAACACATATCTAATTCCCAAAACAAAATACACAGGGAACATATTTGGACCTCCACCAACAATTTTAAAACAAATCAACTTACATTATCAGGAATTGCATATTTCAAGGAACAATACAAAACGTTAAAAATACAATATTGATCCAACCTAAATTAGAAGTGTGGATTAATTTACAAGAGATATAAACAAAGCTACTGGCACTTAGAATCAAATAGACAGAGGGATGAAAATATATTTACATATTATTACATAGGGATAAGGTTAGGACAATTAACAAAAATTGACAACAGCACACCAAATTACTTAGAGAGAAAACAATCAGAATTTAAAATGGCATGCCTCAAAGCATTACAAGGCAATGAAATACTTATACACAAATCAACCAAAGAAATTTACACATATTTAATAAAGAGACAAGCAACACGACTCTACAATAGGACAAAATGCACACATATTTATGAAACAATAAACATTGAAAATACATTTAAAACTACACACATTAAAGGAATACAAAATAAATACAAAGAAACAAAATATTGACTCATATACAACATGGCACCAGTCTCAAAAAGACCACACGATGACAAAATGAGGCACATAGAATGTCCACTCTCCAGGACCAGGGCTGATGAGATAGAACAACATTTATATCTGACATGTAAGATTAAATCTACACTTAAACAAATCACCCAGGCAGGTACAGTTCAGATAGTAGATATAGACAGAGCTATAACTCTAAACCCAAACCAGAATTCAAAAACAAGAAACACACAATAAGTCTAATATTACTTTCCCAATACAGAAACCATGCATGGCATTACAGACTAATGAATTTTTTTTACAAACATAATTACACAAACATTACATTAGAAAAACTATTTAGATTTAAAATACAATACATAATTCAAAACTTAATTTGAAAAAATATAATGACAGATTAATACATTAATTATTTTTTTTTGGTATAATTCCAATTCATTTATACATCATGTTAAATATGTTATACTAGAAACTAATGCTTAATATAATACACATTATTTAATTAGAATTTCAGTAACTATTATGTAAATAAGTTATTTCAGTAAAGGATTTAAAATTTTTGTTTAGTTAACACTTAGGTTTTTTGCCTGTAAATAGATTATTCTGTACATAATTTAAAAATTTTTTGTTGAATCATTAAAAAATAAAAATAAATAAAAATGTAAAAAAAACAAAGCATCTCAAAAAAAAAGGTGGAATTATGTTTTAAATTCCACTTGAAATTGATCCTTAAATTTAAGGATAATATAAAATTTAAAGTTAATAAACAGTTTGTGATAGTTTTGAAATCATAAGAAAAACATTTTTTTTTTTAAAGTATAACCACAGAAGGGGATGATGATGGAATTATTTGTCAACGGTCAAAAACACATTTTATTTTAATATAAAATGTCGAAATTCAAGTTTCCTAAATTCAATAGGATAATATTTTGCTTAGAGTATGAAAGAAATGCAACCAAAAAAATTTTCTTTTTAAAAAACTTTTCTCTTTTGTAGCTTCTCATTAAAGTTTTCAGAAATGTCCTAATAAAGAATTATTAAAATAAAATCATTCCACATACAAACTTGGATTTTTCAATATCTCAGTTGGATCAATTTTAACATACACCCAAGTGTACAAAGGTTCCTGTTTGAGGCCAAGCAATTGATATTTTAGAGTATTGAGACCATCTTCATGAATTCGATTTTTGCTAGATCGAAAAAGATGAGTTCTGGATAGAACAGGGAGATGAAAACATGTGAGAACAAATAAATATGAATGCATGAGAAATATAATAAAGTATATTTTTCAATTTGAAGAATTGTTAAAGGTTTTTTGAAGATCAGAAATCTTTCTTTTTACTTGTATATAAATTATTATCCAAGCAGTGCTGATTAAGTATGCTGGTGGTATAAAAACATAGGCCTACACATATTTTTGTTAAAATTCTAACTTTAAAAGAATGTGAACTCTTACAATAAATCAAAGGCTATTTGAAATCCTATTAATAAATGCTCTAGAGCAGAGATTCTCAAACTTTCAAAATGTTGGACCGTTTCTCAAGCTGCTGAAAAATAATCTATAGCCTACTTTCTGTCATAGGCACTGGTTCATCTCTGTCCCACCTGGAACCACATCTCTACCCCAATTTGAGATTCAGTGCTTAAAAGCAGCCACAAATTAATTGTTTGCATATTTTTATAACTCAACAATAATTATTGTCTAGATAAACGAAAAAAAATTTTCTCACCTGTCTTCTTGATCTTCTTTAGCATGCCTCATCATTGTATATCTAGCCACTTCAGGATCATAACGAACTATCACCATACCATGGCTTCTAACTCTAAAACAGTTACAAAGAAAATAATAAATTATTATATAATTTAAAATACTCATATACAATTCAGAAAAAAAAAAATTTTTTAATCTTTCAAATCAATTAATTCTTATGAAGTGAAGAGCATCTCAAGACAATCCAATAATATAGGCTAATCCATAATTATAATACATGGATTCTTCAGCCTGAGGTGTTTACAAATCTGTACAGAATAAAACTTAATTTAATTTGAAAAACTCATAAAGAATTTCCTTTTAATTCAACTTTCCATAGAGAGAGCTTGAAGATTTATTTTTGCCTTTTCATGACAACTTGTCACTTGTCATCATTAATCATTCTAATTTCGAACACATCTTTTTCACATATTTAACTTTATTTTTATTGAAACCTATAAGTTCAGATGATTACAAAACAAAATGTTTTGTTCCCCAGACTGTAAGAATTTACCAGCCTGCTTCCCCAGCAGTTTCCAAATCTAAATTTTCACTGATTAACTCATTATTGTCACTAAGGGAGTTAATCTTGTTTTATATTTGATAGCTGATTTTTATGCTAGCAAAATACTTTGATGTCTTGTGTTTAAATTGTTCTAATTGTAAAATTGTGTCTTGGTTAAAATATATATTTATTTATATGCTGAAATTGAATATGTACAATGTAATCAAAAACATTTCCATTTATTTAGATCAATAAAAGAATCTTATCTTATCTTATTTTCAAAATTCTTCCAAGCAATATACCTATAAGACATATCGTCATCTTCACCACCCCAGCCAAAATAAGCATTGGAGAAACCATTAACTTTATTCATCATTTCTTTGGTCATCATGGAGGCACCACCAAAAATATTCTGGTACATCAATCTATAGAAGACAACAACAAAAAAAGACATTTTGGTGGTATTTTAAAAAGTTCAAGAATAAAGAAAGTTGTAAGATCTATAGACCATTTTAAATTTAAAATCCACAAAATTAAGCATTGAGGTGAATTATCTAAAAGGTAATATAAGCTATTCAAATTACTGCATTGAGCTATGAAATATTTTAAAACTATTTTTGGAAATTGAAACTTCTAAGTGAACAAAAACAGCTAATAATACTTTATAATAAAATTGCCAACTTAATTTTCATGTTGGCCATTTTTATTTTGTCCTGTAATATAAGAGTGTAGTAAAGATACTAAAAATGTGTAATTTTCTCAACAGAGATATAATAACTGCAATTCTTTATTTACCTAATGCTTATGGTCTTACTTGTTGTCATGACTGTCTATAACAGCACTTAAATGAACTGGCTCATCACCACAGGAATAGAAATTTCTGTCGTCCAGAGGAAGAAGATCCACGTCATGAAATACAAAGCAGTCGTATTCAAGGATCTTTAACGATTCCACAAATCCTACGTTCATGAGGATGGCACGATTAAAGGGCGTTCCAGCTGCCTGTTAGTAAAAGGACATTCAGAAAATAAAATAGCAAAACTGTACAATTAAAATATGTGAATTGCAGAAGTTATTTTTATTATCCATCCTGTGATAAAGATACTTACTTAATTATGACGTTTACCCCATTTTTGGCATAGGTCGTCTACAAGAATTTCCCATTCATCTCAGTTGTGTGCGTTCCTTTCCAGTTGCTTCCAGGTGTATCCCATACTTTGTGTGTCTCCCTCTAGCTTGCGTCTGCATATATTTTTAGGCCTTCCTGTCTTTCTTTTTCCCTGTGGATTCCATGTTAGTGATTGTCTGGTGATGTTGTCTGTGGGTTTACTAAGAGTGTGCCCTATCTACCTCCATCTTTTTCCTTATGATGTCTTCAGCAATAGGCTACTGGTATGTCCTTTCCAGTAACTCTTTGTTGGTGAAGGTGTTTGACTATTTGATGTTCAGAATCTTTCAAGGCAAGAGTATATGAAGGTCTGTACTTTCTGCATGATGTTCGCTTTTGTTCTCCAAGTTTCGGCTCTATAGAGTATTTTGAGATTTTGGTTGCAAATTCTGACTTTGTTTGTAGAGTCAACGCCTTTGACTCCCATCTTTTCTGTAATAGCACAAATGCTGACCTAGCCTTTCTAATTCTAGCCCTGGATCCACCATTTATGCCAATGGTGCTGCCTAAGTATGTGAAGGCACACACTTCTTGCAGTGCATTTCCTGCCATAGAGATATGCTCTTGGTTGGCTGAGTTTTGCCTTGCCTTTATTTATATTGAGTCCGAGCTGTGCTGAAATGATGGCTGCATTTGATGCTGGTCGTGGAACAGACGAGAAATGTAGTCTGCAAGGTCTAAGCCATTCAGTTGTTCCCAGGGTGTCCACTGTATCCCGTTCCTCTTTATGTCTGTGGATTTTTTCATTATCCAGTCAATTGCAGGATGAATAGAAAGGGGGACAACACGCATCATTGTCTGACTCCTGTTTCCACTTTAAAGGCATCTGTGAGTCTACCTTCATATACCACTATGCATGTCATTTCTTCATAAGAAGTCTGAAGGATCCTGACTAGATTTCCCGATACTTGATAATGCATGAGAAGTTTCCAAAAGGTTTGTTGGTCCAGGTTATCAAAGGTCTTTTCGTAGTCTATAAAATTTAGGTATGGTTCCATTCGATGAACTACAATGATATGTAGGTTGCAAATTGATCTGTGTATGATCTGTTTCGACGGAAGCCAGCCTGTTGGTCTCATAGCTGCCTGTGACCTGATCCTTCATTCTATTTAAAATAATTCTGTTAAAGACCTTTCCTGGTACAGACGACAGCAGGGTAATTCTCTGTAGTTTGCACAGTTGCTGAGATCACATTTCTTTAGTATCTTGAAAAGAGTTTCTTTCTTTTCAATCTTTCGAAACTCTCTCTTCTTCGCATATCTTTTTAAACAGAGGGTGCGGCATCTTGACTACTGTATTTATATCTGCTTTCATCATCTCTGTTGGGATGTTATCCGGTCTCGATGGTTTCCCTATTTCTTTGCACTGTCTGATAACCAGGGTTATTTCTTTGCACTGCCTGATAACCAGGGCTATTTCTTTGCACTGCCTGATAACCAGGGCTATTTCTTTGCACTGCCTGATAACCAGGGCTATTTCTTTGTTATATTGGCACTGTCATCTATTTGTAAATCTTCATTTTTTGGTTGTATAATATCTGTTGTGTCTGTGGGTGTAGGTCTGTTTAGAAATTCCTTAAAGTATTCCACCCATCTTTTTTGTTGTTCTTTTCATTCCGTTATTGATCTACCTTCCTTGTCGTTAACCAGTCTCTCTGGCTTCTTTAATCTTCCTGAGAGCATTCTTGTTATGTGATAGAGCTCTTTCATGTTCCCCCTTCTGGCTTCTTCTTCTGCTGTTGTTGCTAGACCATCTTTGTAAGCTCTTTTATCCTTTTTGATGCTGTTCTTTACCCTTCAATTTGCTCCTTTATAATTCTCTTGTGCTTTTGTCTTCTCTGCCCTGGTGCAGTTAACTACACACTTCATTTCTTTCCTCTTGTTTATATTTTGCTACGTGTTGAGTGAGAGGCAATCTTTATGTTTTTGCTTCACCGATCCTAATACCTCGTTGCACATGTATGTTACAGACATATTTATGTTTTTGACGTTCTATCTGGTCATCATCTGTTTGGAACTTATTTCCCAAGGTAACCCTGAATTCCAGTCATTTCTGCTCATTTGCCAGAGAAACATCATGACACAATTGTGTAACATTATAATTTTTAATGAAAATTAGATATTCGTAATTATTTTGAAGAAAGATTTTTAAAATATATTTATTTAACATGGCAGTTTTTTTCTTTGTCAGCATAGCAACATTTGTTTGTTTCTTGGGGGTTTTAAAAAAAATATTTTTTTTTTAGATGTTAGATCAGCTAGACAGTTTATCTGGAGAGAGATAACTAAAGACAATTTACTTACTTGTTCTACCACAATGATCCCATATTCCAAATTTTGTCTTTGAAGAAATGGATGCATATGATGAAGAAATAGTTTTAAATGTATTTCTCTGTCCCTGTAAGCCACAATGATAGCTACTTTATGCTTTGATCTGCAATTTACATAATTTTTTTAGAGGCTTTCTTTGATAAAAAAATATTTTTACTTCATTAAAAATAAAACAAATTAGTCCAAATATAGATTACCTTTTAAAAATGCTTTAATGCGTAATTTATACAAATGGTAAATTACATCAATTCTTATTTTTATTAGCGTTTTTTTCCTCAGACACACTCGTTGGTAGCACCAATACTAATTAGAATGGTGTGTTCATATGTCCTTTGCTAGCAGTTACATATGCACATGTAATATTATTTGGTGGCTCATGTGTCATATGTTTAAAAAAATCATTTGTAATAAATATCACCTGCACGTTACTGGAACAAAATGGCCACCAGGTCTAAGGTTATGTCCAAGTTTGTACTCTAAATCTTCAAAGCTTAAAATTGAGGTTGTGTCTACTTCTATGGGACCTTCTGGAAAAAGACATACAGAAATATACATTAGAGTATAAATTTGTTATATGGTACAGTAAAGATACACTTGCTTGCATTGTTTGTATTATGGTTGGTTTTTTTTCATGATATTTTGAAATATTTAATATGTTTTTTTATTAACGCTAAGGCACTTCATCTATTGTGCATTTTAAAAAAATAATTACAACACAATATAATATCTTACTAGATGAATCATTAACTAGAAAGGTGCAGTCTTCAGATGGCTTTGACAGTCCAAAATGTAAAGCTCTGTATAATATTTCTGTTTTTAGAAAATTAAAAAAAATAAGTATAACCATCTTGTTTTCTTCCTTGATTCAATGTTAATATTAAATTGTTCTGAGTTTTCCCTAATAAATGTATGTCCAATGAAGACCAAAATTATCAACATGATTTAGATTTATTAGCCAAATAGCTGATTTCAAGAGTGATCTTCTGTAGAGTGTTTACAGCTTTTTGGAAGCGGAATGTTTTCACATACCATGTTCTCTACATCTTCTGCTGCATCTATTCGTATCCTTTCATTGGTATAACTCTATGTCTATCCTTTCATTGGTATAATTCTATGTGTATCCTTTCATTGGTATAACTCTATGTCTATCCTTTCATTGGTAAAACTCTATGTCTATCCTTTCATTGGTATAACTCTATGTCTATCCTTTCATTGGTATAACGCTATGTCTATCCTTTCATTGGTATAACTCTATGTCTATCCTTTCATTGGTATAACTCTATGTCTATCCTTTCATTGGTATAACTCTATGTCTATCCTTTCATTGGTATAACTCTATGAGAAACGAATTGCAGTCTCCGAATTTGTCTCTGATAGGCAGATTGACATTCTGTTTATCCAGGAGACCTGGTTTCGGCTGACTGGCGATGAGGGGAAGTGCACCGATCTCGCTCCCTATGGCTATTCTGCCAGATCATTTCCCCGTTCAACTCGCGGCGGAGGCCTTGCTATTATATATAGAGACACGTTGTCCCATCATACAGCTTTTGTCACAGACCTCCCATTCGTCCACACGTCTTTTGAGGTAGTTCAATTTACACTGTCAGTGCCCCAGCAGACAGTTCATTTCATGTGCATATATCGCACCTTCCCTAGTAAGAAAAATAAATTGACCAACTCAGTGTTTCATCGAGAATTCCCGGATTTGATTGACCACTGCAACACATTGACCGGGACTTACATTGTACTAGGCGACATGAACTTCCATTTTGATCAACCACAGCACCCCTCCACTGCTAGGATGTTGGATCTCTTGGATTTATTCAGTCTTCACCAATCGGTCGACCAACCGACTCATAATCGTGGACATATTCTTGACTGGGTACTACATAGGCCTCAAGATGGTGTAGTTAGATCTACTTCAATCACACAAGAGCTGTCCTCTGACCACTTCTGTGTTATTTGTGAACTTAGTGTTAGTGCCCCCAACCCTCCCCCTCAGTTTAGGGAGGTGCGCAGTCTGCGAGCTATAAACAGGGATGCATTTAAGCATGACCTAAGCGTAGAAGTGTCCCCTGCCCTCTGCCCTACATTGGAATCACTAGACCGTGCATTGCGCGCTGTGCTTGACCGACACGCCCCTGTCACCCGCCGCAATTTTAGTCTAAAGCGGTCATCTCCCTGGTATGCGACCATCAAGGAGGAACTACGCAGTGCCAAGAAAGAGCGCCGTAGTGCAGAAAAGAAGTGGTTAAGGTCAGGTCTTGTGGTTTTTAAGCAGATATTTTACGCTGCCAAGAAGCGTGTCAATCAGATTGTTTGTCGTGCAAAGACTACGTATTTTAGCCAAAAGATAACTATGGGTAAAACCAGCAGGCAGTTGTTTGATGTTTGTGGTCACCTTAGGGGGAGTAACAAAGGAACTGCGCTTCCTTCGGTGTTTCCCCTGCCCAAGCAACCAGATATTTTCTGTAATTTCTTTACAAGCAAAGTAGCTGACATTCGAGCTGAGCTTGATCGTCTTGATGCCCCTCCCCTTGAATTGCCTCCTTTCCCTTGTCTTACTTCCCATTTTAATATTTTTAAACCTGTTTCAGAACTTGAGGTAAAAAATATAATCCTAAAATCTAAACATACGTCATGTTATTTGGATCCCATCCCAACCCCCCTGTTGGTTGAGTCATTAGATATCTTGCTCCCAACAATAACCCGCATAATAAATGAAAGCTTATATTCTGGCACTGTTCCGCCTCTTTGCAAATCAGCTGTCATCAAACCATTGCTTAAGAAGCCCGGTCTGGATGAAAATAATTTAAAAAACTATAGACCTGTATCTAACTTATCATTTTTATCTAAAGTTATTGAAAAACTAGTCCTAAAACAACTTTTTGCTTACTTAAATGATCACTCTCTTCTCAGTTCTAATCAGTCGGCCTATAGACATTTCCATAGCACGGAGACAGCTCTCTTGAGAGTCAGTAATGACCTCTTGCGCGCAATGGACAGCGGTAATGTCTCCATTTTGATCCTCTTAGACCTCAGTGCGGCCTTTGACACTGTTGACCATGAAATCCTTTTCAAAACCCTTGAAAACTACTTTGGAATTTCTGGTTCGGTTTTGGCTTGGTTTAGGTCCTACCTCTCTGATAGAACGCAAATGGTCTCTGTCGATGGCTGTCTCTCCGGCAGTGCTGATTTGGTGTACGGAGTGCCACAGGGGTCCGTTTTGGGTCCGGTTCTATTCATAATGTATACCAGACCACTACTCCTCTTGCTCGGGAGGCATGCTGTTGAGAACCAGTCATTTGCAGATGATACACAGCTATACATGCATACCCATCCATCTCTTGTCGATTCCGCTGTCCAGACTTTGCGGGGGTGCATTGATGATGTCAAGTCTTGGATGACACTCAGCAAGTTGAAGCTTAATGATGACAAAACAGAAGCACTCCTCATTTACAATCACAAATCATCCTCTACCTCGATTCTTCCCACCTCATTTCAAGTAGGTAACTCCGACATACAGTTTACACCCTCTGCTAGGAATCTTGGTTATATTCTTTCTAACAACATGTCTCTCGATAAACATATCTCTCACATTTGTCGTTCAGCATACACCGCCATCCGTCAGATCAGCTCCATCCGCCACTACCTGACAGTTAGCGCAACAAAAACTCTAGTCTGTGCTCTTGTTCTCTCTCGTCTTGACTATTGCAACTCACTTCTGTCAGGTTCACCGAAACATTTTATAGAAAAACTGCAGAAAGTTCAAAACTCTGCTGCTAGGCTTGTTCTTAAGGCAAAAAAACGCGATCACGTCACTCCACTACTCCACTCACTACATTGGCTCCCTATACAGGCACGCATTGACTACAAGCTGTCTCTTCTCTGTCACAACTTTTTCTCGGATTCCTGCCCTTCCTATCTAACTGAACTTCTTTCTGTCTATTCACCCCTTCGACAACTTCGCTCCTCCGCAGACTCGCGTATTCTGTCCGTTCCCAAGACACGCACTAAATTATATGGTGAACGATCTTTCTCTTTCTGCGCCCCCAAACAATGGAATTCTTTGCCACTACACATCCGCAATATAACAACCACACAGGCCTTCAAAACTGCACTCAAAACACATCTATTTAAACTATACTACTCTGACTGATTCTCCTCCTATAAACCGATAAACGTACATGGGTTTCCTTGTAAAAATGTCTGGTGTGGGTGGATGAATAGACCTATGGTGTTGTTTTGCTTATATGTTGTTTTTATTTCATTTATGTATTTTATTTTAATATTATGATTATGCCTCTTGGCTATATATGTACAGCGCGGTGAGCCCAGCCCTAGGCCGGGGTACCGCGCTATATAAGACCACTTATTATTATTATTATTATTATGTCTATCCTTTCATTGGTATAACTCTATGTCTATCCTTTCATTGGTATAACTCTATGTCTATCCTTTCATTGGTATAACTCTATGTCTATCCTTTCTTTGGTATAACCCTATGTCTATCCTTTCATTGGTATAACTCTATGTCTATGTGTATCCTTTCTTTGGTATAACTCTATGGCTATCCTTTCATTGGTATAAGTATAACTCTATGTGTATCCTTTTATTGGTATAACTCTATGTGTATCCTATCATTTGTATAACTCTATGTCTATCCTTTCATTGGGATAATAAATGTGTATCCTTTCAACTTTCATTAGTATAACTCTATGACTATGTCTATTCTTTTATGATACAACTGTACGAGTACCTTTTCATGATATAACTCTATGAGTATCCTTTTGGAAATCCAATGATGCCATAACTTTATATGGTAATCTCATTCTTCAGAGATGTATTAAATTTAGATTTAGAACATGGGGAAAAACTAAATATTAAAATCAAAGCAGCCCATTTTCTGGTCGGTGCTTAAAAATACATAATCCCTCTATCCGGTGTTACAGTTTAAAATCCTGTAAAAACAAGAACAGCACAGGAAGGGGGGAAAAGGGAATGAACAAATAGAGACCAATTTTTTATGTTATGTTAAAACATTTACCAAGTTTCAACGTTTTATAACTTTCGGTCTTGTGCAGTGTGTAAAACAAAGAACTCATCAGAGTGACAGCAATAAAAATAATAAAAAAACATAGCAACTGTCGTCTCCTAAATTTGTTGGCAGGCCACAGCAGAGATGAGATCCATAATATCTGTTGATGTCGTTTACCACCATCCATTGCTGAAAGAAATAATCTTTCAAGGTGATGATGCAGTCATCAATCTGGAAAATGGTTTGACAATCTTTTATTTTTATTCAATTAGGTTATAACTATTTTGAGTAAAGTTAAGAGCTGGAAAATTTAAATTCGGACAGTCGGTGTTTTTTAACATTGTAAGTGTAAGCCTAATCTATCAAAGATTTTACTATACTAAATAAAATGATAATATAATAAGTTGTTGAACTGTTGTTTTTTTAAGTTCAAAATAAAGGTGCCAATTAGTTATTGAACGCATTTCTTTTTTATTCACTTATTCAACAAATCTGACCCCCACCCCCCACCTCTCCATTTTTTTCTTACCCTGATTATTCACTGCATGTTTGTAACAACATATTTTCATGTATATATGGATGCTGTTTTGCACTGAAATTAAGCTAAGGTGACTAAATCTTAGCAGTAAACAGGTGGTGAAATATCGGGCGCTGCCTTCTGTGCAGTAATGTATATGGATATTTAAATTATTGTAGACAAAAATATATCCACATCGTGTTAACCCCAGTGACATACGTAGCATTTTAGGCCACGCTTTTGTTCAGCGCCCAAC